AGAGGGAGAGGGAGAGGGAGAGGGAGAGGGAGAGGGAGACAGCACAAAAATTATACAATCTTTTTTCCAGTATAACATCACTATTCTTAGCAGTGACTGCCTGGAAACTGTCTCTTGGATGGCAGCAGCTGGGAAGTTCATTTGCCTCCATTCTCTGACTGATAAGACTAATTGAGTATGCCTAGATTTTATAATAATAAAAAAATCATACTTAACAGCCACTTTTCATTTTGAAGCCTGGAATTTTAGTACTGGCAAAAAAAAAAAAAAAAAAAAAAAAGATTGCTTATATGAAAAGTACCCAGTAAAAACCTTGGGTATAGAGAAACCACCCCAGGCAGAAATACTGAACAATTTGCTGCATTTTTGTGGCTGGTGAAAGGAAGATAACTGAAATACACTCCCTGGAAGAATGCAGTGAGCAGAGAACGCAAGTGTCTTTAGAGTCTGCTTGTGTCTTTCCCTTCATGGTCTATGAAGCCTTACTCTAATGCTATAGAAACCCTGATCTAGGGTTACTGTTACTCTTAGCTTATGAGTCCTTCTAGGGTAATTTCAAGGATAGGGATGACACTCTTAAGGACTGGAGATACAAGAAGGCATATACCAATTCCACTTTAACAATTGCCATGTGTAACTTAGTTTCAGTGTTACACTGCCAACAAATTATTACTCACAATTTAATCTTTAACTGGTAAGTTTGCTCATTTACTCACACATACAGATCTCCACCTTTCTCATCTTCTATACCTCAAATGGTACCACAGGTACAGGGGGTTTAAAAAAAATAAGACAGACTCTTTCAAAATTAGAAGAAACAGTTAGTGAATAGTTAGTGAATAGTTAGAATTAGAAAGTGAAAGTTACTTGAAGCCCAGGAGTTAAGCCTCTAATTAAGTCAATTTGATAAATTACATGGCAAACAGAGGAATTTTTCATAAAAATTTTGACAAAAAATAGTCTTTTTAAAAAGCATCAAGGGCTGGAGAGATGGTTCAGTGGTTAAGAGCACTGACTGGTCTGTCAGAGGTCCTAAGTTCAATTCCCAGCAACCACATGGTGGTTCACAACCATCTGTAATGGGATCTGATGCCCTCTTCTAGTGTGTGTCTGAAGACAGCTACTGTGTACTCATATAAATAAAAATAAATAAATAATATTTTAAAAGTATCAAATAAAAAGGGCAAGGGTTTAACAATAAAACTTTCCTGGTAAAAGGTCAAATAATAAATATTTTCGTATTTATGGGTCACACTATCTACTACAGCTATTCAAGCACTGTGAGATAAAACTGGCAACAAAATAATATATAAAGGAACACACAATATTCCAATAAGATTTGACTCAAATCTGGGTGTGTTGGAACATGTCTCCATATAATCTCTGTATCTGGCAAACAAAGGCAAGAGGACTAGGAGTTACAGGGCAGCCTGTCTCACCTAGTGAGACCTACACATACGTCCACAAATACAAGTACAAAATTTGCCAACCCTCAATTTGAAATATATAGAAAGCAACAGATTATGTAGTTGGTCTGATTTCTGATTTTTTTTCACTGGAGATGTTATGGTTTCAATTGAAATGCACTCCATGGGTTCACTGTCTTGTAATTGTTCACTGCACTGACCTGGTCTGGTCTAAAGGCCTCTGGCTTCTACAATACCATCAATATTGGCACCTCATGCACTACAGCAGTTAAAAAGAGTTGGATCTGGGCCTGAGAAGTATGTGAGGTAGTCAGCCTTCAGGTTCTCCCATACTCAATCCCTCAGGGCTCACACAACCACCACATCCGGAGCTAGCCCACTCTACTGTGCTGTCTAGGCAAGGTGTAGGGCCTGCTCTCCCAAGTGGTGCAGCTGGTGAGGAGCAGGGCCAGCTCTCCTGCTCTCATGAACCTTTGGCCAGGTCTTCTGCTTGCCTTGGGTAGCAGGGTGAGGTGAGGGGGTAGGAGGGTATCTCTCCCATTTACAGGCCACCACAGGGGAGAATAGTGGTAGGACCAGGTCTCCCACGCTCATTATTCTTGGGGTGGAGTAGGGAGGAGGCAGCACAACTGCAAATCCCGAAATATGGAACATTGCAGTTGGCTAGGGATAGGGTCAGCTCTTCTGCCCTCATGCCCCCAGGATCAGCTCTCGCATGACAGATGCCCAGGTAAAGGGTAGGGCCAGTACTGCACAGCCATCGGATATTAACATGTCCCCAGGTGGCAGCCCTGACCAGGGATGTCTACCTGGCCTTTGGTGGTAACAGACCCCTGGTGCCCAGGGGCAGCACAGGCCAGGACCTCACCATGGTCCCAGGTGGGAATCACTGGCCACTCCCATCAGGCTGCTCCTCACTACCCTCGCGTCTCCAGGTCTGCCTCTCCTCACTGTGCACACACTCGACTGTTTCTCTATCACTTACTTGCTCTTCTCAGAGGTACCCAGGGTCTCTGAGTGCCTGGAGTCATCTCAGAAGTGATCTCAGGAGATCTATTTACAGCTTGTGCATTATGGCACCAGGAAAGGGTCATCTTAGGTATGGTCTACCCCCATTCATGCCTTCAAGGTGTCCCGCTGGTAGATGTCTCAGGCTAGTTCCCTGTCCAGATCGTGGTCATCTCCAGCTCACTTCTCGCCCAGCCCATCCAAGTGGACTCATGCAAGTGTACTCTGTCTCAGGGTCACTTCCACCAAGGGCCCTCAGTCCCAAGTGGGGTTCTTCTAATCTCCAGCTTGCTCTGAGCCTATGCTGCACCAGACTATTGGTCTGATCAGGCTTTCTTTCTTCAGATGTTCACAGGTTAGAACATTGAGTGTAGACACACTCTCTGTCCTCTCTGCCACCTACTGATGCACATGTGACACAGCAGCCACACCTGCTGTGTTTCTAGGGGCAGGTTATGTGATTCTTCATGGCCCAAAAGTACTCCCTTTATGTCCCTACAAAAGTAGTATCAAGATCAAAAAAAAAAAAAGAATGACATCTTAACTGAAGTGGAGACAGCATGGATAGAAGACTTTGGAGCTGCAGAGCCACTGAGGATGCAGCTCAGAAGAGGAAAACTTGTCTACATATGTAAAGCCCCAGGCTGAGTCTCCAGCACCACAAACAGCACAATGAATCACTTCAAAAAGGCAATGTAATGTAACTAGTGAGGCTGAGCCAGCCCAGCCTTGACTTCAGTTGTTGTTTTTAAGAGAAAAGAAAGAAAAGCACTAGGTGAATTCTGAAAATGCCAATGATATCAGCTTTGTCACACCACTTCTCTGAGATTCTTCCTCTCTTTCTTACCTACTGTGTCTCTTGTCCTCTAACTTCCCATCTTCCTGGTTATAATGTAGTAAAATGGAAGGATGAAGCAGACTCACACGTCACAGAGTCACCCCTCACTTCCCATGCACATAACATAGAAAGTGTGTCATTCCTGGCATGCTCAAACAATATTCTCTTCCATCTCACCGCTCCCCTCTAAGCTATTTAACCAATAAATATAGAATTACAAAGAAGAGGAACATGAAATAGAGTTATGGATCAATTACTCTAATATTGGACTACTATTTCACAGGGGAAAAATGAATTATCTAAACGAAACATGAAGTGTACTGAGAGAACATAAGCTGAGTGACTGACTGAGTGACTGGACAAGGGGAGACTGAATGCCGACATCCATCAGCAGGGATACAGGACATACAGCCACATCTCATTTTGTTTGTATTCTTCGACAGGGCTGGTGTGCTACTTAAAGAACCTTCAGGAAGCAGAGGTGAAATGCACAAGCACAATAAGCCCGGAAGGAAACAGAATTCCTTCAGTCTCACAAGGGCCTCTGCAAGAAGACCAAAGCTGGCACTCACTCAATGATGAAAAGCCAAGTGATTTCCTCTGGGCACAGATGAACAAGTTGTCCTCTCTTGCCACTTGTATTCAAAACTGTGAAAGGTCCTATCTAAGCAAGAAACACATAAAATAAACTTAAACATTAACTGTAGAATAACTTGTTATCTTCCTGAACAACACTTTCCCAACACTTCTGTTGGAATGATTAAAAACTTACTGATAGAAAAAGAACATAGCAAACACTGAGAATTTTAGATAATACATTTTTTTTTAGTTTTATGCACATTGGTATTATATGTGCATGTATTATCTGCAAATAATATTGGATCCCCTGAAATTGGATTATCAGACAGCTGTAAGCTGCCGTGTGGGTGCTAGGAATTGAACTCAGGCCCTCTGGAAGAACAGTCAATGTTCTTACTTGCTGAGCCATCTCACCTGTGCTGCTTATATAATCTCAATTATATAATCAGAGAAGCAGAAATAGTAACAAATTATTGAATGTATGACATATTACAGACCAAAGCACTGGATTTCATTTTTCAGTACTTCAGTTCTCAGATAAGGGAAAGCTAACTTGCCACTGATGGCTAGCTGCTGGCAGTATGTCAGTGATAAGAATAATAAGGTGTATTGACAAAGGAGATTCAAATTGCATGCAATCTGAACACATGCAAAAACATCTCAAATTATGATCTTTAGGCACAGAGTCCTTGTGATGATGAATAACAATAACTTAAATCCTCTCTGTGGCAGTGGTAGCCAGCTTCTGCATTCTGAGACAAAATCATGAATATAAAAGCTGGTAATGACATACAAAAGTGCTACAACAGGTTCTACAGAGTAAAACTGCTTCCACTTTGACGCCTGCAAAGAAAGCAGGTCACACCTAGTGCTCCATTCCATAATCCACCTTGTCAGTACTCAGTAAGAAAGTTCACTAGAAAGACCCAGCATATCCCGACATAGGACATTTGTACTCTGGGGAGATGGCAAACCAAGTCCTTTTCCCCTTCTCAGATCCACTCCAGGTTCACTCTGACCATGTGGAAGACTGGTGTATGACATGCAAGCAGAGGGCAAGAATCCAGCCAGAGGTTTATATGAGCAAACACTTTCAAGATTGCATTCAGATGTGAGCAGAATGGCTGCCAGAAGCCTTCTCATCTTATCTTCTGGTGGATGCTAAATAGCAAGATGCCTTAGGCCCATCCCACCAAGCATGTCTTCACTACAGGAAGATTCTTACATTGAGGAACTCCTGTCCTTATAAAAAAGAGACTAACGAGGGGTGGGAGAAAGGGGAAGAGAAAAAGTCAGGAAAGGAGGAGAAAAAAAGAGGAGGAAAAGAGAAAGGGAAAAAGGAAAAGGAGGGGAGGAGGGAAAGAAGGAGGGGAAGAAAAAGGGGGGAGACGAAAAGGAGGGGT